TATGCAAAGCAATTTTCTCGAGGTAGCTGCGGTTTCGTACGTTGCTAATTTCTATCGTTATCTAGATATCTAGACACTACGCGTGCTTTTCAAATACGGATTTCGAAAAATTACAAATATCCATTTCCGATCACGAATCAGAAGTATCATATCAGTGATCACGCGCATCACGCGAAAGAAGTGCAATTTAGGAAATCTGCATCGCTTTCTAACATCCCGCAAAAAGAGCAAGTCGAAAAAGAAAAGATCCCGCAAAAAGAGCAAGTCGAAAAATAACTAATTCAAAAATATCCACGAAAATATTGTAGGAGATATCGCCCCGTTGGTGGGTTCGAATCCTAGCGATGCGATATTGCTAGAATTGTCAAATCGCGCCGTTATCGCTGGAATAGGTATGGCCTAAGAAGAAAGGATCAGTCGCGCGGGACAGCCAGCACAACCGACATGCATGATTTGCCGGCATGCATAAGGCTCATGACAGTTGTCATCGCAAAAATCGCGCCACGATGATTTTTTTTGTCGGTATGGTCAGGGTTTAAGACAATCGCAGCCTTTCTCGAACTTTCCGGAAGATTCCCAAGAGTGAGATAAAGCTAGTCAATAGCATTCTAGTAAACAAGAGTTCTATATAAAGAGACACGGCTTGAATGAAGCAGTTTTCATCATTGGGCATCTCAAGTGCGGTTGCGATTGGATCCTCCAATCCGTAAGGGCCACAATGCTGCCCATTATTAACGTAACACTCGGTGTACGAGTACGAGTTGGTCCGGACTTAAACTCTTGCATTACTCTACTTCAGAATCCATATACTTTTGTAATAAATATATTTCTGTTTACACTTTTGACTACTAAGTGCTGCTGTCGTAAGCGGCGGAAACGTCCACCTCCGAAGAAAGGTGTTCTCGTGGTGAGTAAATCCATTTGGCAAGGATCTTCTCGTAATAAAGGTTTTTTCCAGAAAATTCCTACAAAAACAGTCTCTAAGGAGAAATTTGCGAAGCCGAAGCCACTTTCACTCACTTCCTCATCCACACCGTCAATCCCAGACCTCCTGACCACACCATTGGCAAAGACTCAAACAGAGGAGGAGCTCTTTACGGTAGGAAATGCTTGCAAAAATTTGTTTAAAACGTAAAAATGCTGTATTCAGTCGAAGGACATGAGTTTTGAGAAGATACCGATACCTATTAGAATGAAGTATGACAGAATGCGAAGGTCAAAATCGGCTGAGCGTATTGAGAGTCGCAAGTTGTTGCCGTATCCAGAAGTGAAACCTCCAACTCTCAGTGAGAAAAGAAGACACGAGCGCGAACTAGAGAGAGATAAAAAAGCGAAAATAGCTTCTGGCTTTTACCAGGTGGGCTGTATTGCGCACAAGTCTAGTAAGTGTATGGGTTATAATTTCAGTCACGCTCTGACGAAGACGATACCCTGGAGAAAGTGAGTAGCCTTAAGGAAGAATACACAGAGCGTAGCCACAAGCTCCGGAGAAGAGGGACCGAGAGAAAAGAGAAAGCCGAGAGGAAGGACGAGAAAGAAGCTCCCTTAGAAAACTTACTTCTTCCGCTACCTCCTCCTCTTCCTCCACCTACATGAAGCACAGATGATACCGGAATGTTGCTCGTAAATTTGCGCTTCGAGTTTAAAGCTAGTATGTCCAGAACATGTCATTTAGATGTACAAAATATAAAACACGAATACAGTGTACAATCTTACAGTTAGAGAATAAATTTGTGAGCTATGTTGTTCGGTTG